CTTCATACCGCCAGGCGTTCGTCGTGAACTGCTATAGCGTCCGCTAAAACGAAGAGTGCGGCATTTTGAGATTCAGGGCAAGATGGCAATGCGCTTCACTCTGCCCTTCGCCGAGGCCAATCTGGGTGTGATCCTTTCCTCCGTGGCCGCGCAGCCAACTCCACGCTGCTATGGTAATCGTCTCGTCTCCTCTCGTCTCTCAACGGACATAGTCTCGCTCTTCAGTCTGCAGTCTCTGGCTCCCTCATCCTCTCTCTCTCGCTATCCCGTTGTCGGCCTGCTCTTTGCACACCTTCAACTCTCTCCAAGTCTTGGACTACTTCCATAAATTCCAAAATATCAATGGACAGGTTGTTATGACATGTTTGGAGGATGAAGTCCTCTATGATCGGATCTCGGCAATTCATCGTCTTATTCCGGAATCGCTTGACGAAGTCGTCGACCGTCACTTCTTCTTCCTGTTTCTCCTTAAAGAGCATCCTGTATGATACCTCGGTGTCATCATCAAAAAAATTACTGAAGAATAAGCTTTGCATATTATCTCAGCTGTTGATGTTTCCAGGCTTGAGACGACGGTACCAATCGAAGGCAGGCCGGCGAAGGGTGCCAACGAATGACCGGACCATCAAAGGCTCATTGCCAGAGATCACTCCTAACTGAGACTTAAAATAAATCAGATGTTGAGTGGGCGAGCCCTTCCCGTCGAATGACGTAAAGTTGATCAGGTTAAACTTCACCGGGTATGGGATCGACTCCCACTCTCTTGGGTAATGATACGGAATACCAGACTTCTTCACCTCTCGAGCAGACATCGGAGCGTTGATTTTTCTCTCGGGGTCTTTCATCTTTTTATCCTCGTCTGTATCATGCTTTGAACGATTTCTGAGAGGAACAACGCGGTCATCCTCGACATTGTCATCTTTGGTGGAACCACCCCAGCGTTATTATCTTCAGTGGGGCCACCCTAGCGTTTTGATCAACGGGAGGGTTATCTGTATCGAGATATTCGTCCATGTTTGAATCGCCACCTGCCCGGTAGGCATTATTGTGACGACTAGATTCGCCAATCTGATTAGACAAAGCCTGAATCTGTTAGTCATGTGTTTCCCTTATCTGCTGCATAACCATTTCCATTTTAAATTTAAAATTCTCTCTCTGCTTGGCTAGAACGTCTTCGAGGATTTTAGCCATTTGTTCGGTGTTGATCATGAACACCTCACGAGATTGTCCTGTGCTGGACATCGTATTGTCGAAAGCGAGTGCAGAGTTGGCATCTGATGCTTCATCATCCGAGGATAATCCTCTATTCATCCTTTGATAGTCCCTACGTCTAGTAGTTTTCACGCGTAGCCGAGTTAGACGATATGATATGAGGGGGTCAGAACTGGAAGGTTGAATCGACTTTCCCTTATTAGCCATGTTAATTGTGACTTCTGGAACTTGGTTATCTTGAATGGCTGGTCGTTTCTCGCGGAAACGCCTTGGCTTGGTTTTTGACACTTTAGAGGAAAGCCTTTGGGATACCGAGACCCTCTGTAGAGTGGCCTTGTGGCAGCTGCATGCTGATAATACTACCCTAATAAGCTTGGTGCACGGACAATGAGAATCCGCTTCCCAAGTATTTTCCTTCCGAGTCTTATTCGTAACCCCAGCCCGATAGCACAACTCATTAGCATGATCACCGGAGCAACCTATCGTGTGCTGGCATAACTTCCTAGGTATAACATTATCATCATCAGACGAACACATTTTCTTTTGAGGATATAACGCTTTGTTAGCGTCTTCAAGAGTCACACGCTTGGAGCTACGCCTTTGTGAGCATGGGACCTCAACGGGCTCTTAGACTTCGACTCGTAGTCCAATGCGGTCGGTTACTAGAACTTTTCCTTTATGAGAAGGCTTTAGATTGTTATGAGGGCGTGTGCGACCCCCAGCTCGTTGAGTTGCTCAGGGTTTATTCACCAGGCCCAAGCATTCTTTGATCGGAACTTTGCCTCGATCCTCATGTAAAGAACCCAGGCGATCTGCCATCCTATTTTTGAATCGGGACAAGTCTACGCTGTCGTAGGGCTCCATCGGAGGTGCAAGATTCATCGGAGTAGGAATAGGGGCTGTCGGAGACTCGAAAATGGTCGTGGGAGGTGAACCAGGGGCAAAGCGGGCCTTGGTGGCTCGGACCTAGCACGCCACTATTTGGTGACTCGGCCTTGGCCGAGCCACTCCTTGGTGGCTCAGTTTTGGCCGAGCCAGCAAGAGGTGGTTCGTGCTTTTCGATAGTTCCGGGCGATGTCTGAGTTGTTTTCGATGCCGTTTTAGACTTTAGCCTCTAGACTTGGCGTAGTTTTGGTGGTTTCTTGACCACCTCTTCCTACCTTAACTTCTGCGCTTCCTGTACAAGAATCCGTGCATACACAAGCAGTGCGCAATGCTTTTGAATGCGCCCCTCGAGGGTTGAATGGATCCTTTTGACCTGGATCCATTCATTCATTGCTGGTTTGGAGGAGGGTCTGTTTGTTTGCTATTGGGATCCTCGATGCCTTTTGAATTTCAGATCCACTTCGTAGCAAATCCCGTCAACAGGTTCCAAAGCCTTGGCAAGTTAGAGCGCGAGGCGTTGGCGCTGCCTTTGGCAAGCTCTCTTTGATAAAGTGGGCGCGCCTCCAGCAGCTATCTCCTTGATTGAGGAGGAGTCCAGATCTACAGATCCGACCTCGTTGTAGGCCGGAGGAGCGTTGCAAGACGAGATTGCAATAGTAACGAGGGCCTTGAGCTTCCTGCGCTTGCAAGAGGCGGAGGATCTGGAGGAAGAGGACGATAAATACTCCTCGAATTTCTGTTGGTTGAACTCGTACTCGACCTCTTTGTCAACCGAGATCCGGATCTGTGGTTGCGGTACAAGAGCTTCGATAGAGAAAATGTTAGCTCCTATTGTGGTCGCCAGTTTGTTTTCGTCAAAAGTTACTTTTTCCATTGTTGTTAACTTGTTACACCGTTTATCGATTACAAGTTCAGACTAAAAAAAGTCGATCTTTTTATAAGATATTCTTACAATGAAAAAGTGAAAATTATAACTTTATCCAACAAAACGCAGTAGTAGTTTATCTCCTGTTGCTTTGCGTGGGATCTTTGCCTATATCGGGGACGCATTAGTCCGTAGACCACCGCGGATCAGATCTGGTTAACAAGGTTAATTATGTTCTTGTTTCACGAAGGAAACAATCACAACAGTGACAATCACGACCAAGCGAGATTGTGGCTCTTTTCGAGATTAAAACCAAGTTTAATCTGGAGGAAAGAGGGAGAAAGAATCTCAAATCTTTCGAAGGGTTTTTTTATGAAAAAGTTCGTCAAGATTTACCAATTCTCCTCTGAAATCCGTGGTCTACTGTTCAAATTGACAGTACCTCACCCTCTGATTTCAGATCCTCTCTAATGAAGACTCTGGGCTTCTATTTATAGGCTTTTGTCGTCACATTTTCTGATAAGATTTGATAATTTGACATTATCTACAGTAAATAACCGCTCAACTACACTTAGGGATAACTTTAAAATAGTTGGAGAGGTCCTGGAATGAAAGAATCCTTAAAAAGTATCAAAATCCATGTTTTGGGGAGTTTTGGGAGGCCAAAACAGTCGTGGTGGCTCGGAGCTGTATGAGTCACCATTTGGTGGCTGCATGGGTGCGAGTCACCATTTGGTGGCTCGCATGCGTGCGAGTCACCATTTGGTGGCTCGCATGGGTGCGAGCCTCCTGGCCTATTGTTGTGTCTTTTTTACCCTTTAGGCTATTTGTATCTCCTTCGGTTCGCTTGTTTTTCCCCTTTATGTGTGTTTCGTTACTTCGTTGACTTGTGCATTTTACCGAATCGTTTCATGCGTTTATCAACGTCGGATAATCTTTCTTGACTCAGATAATAATGTTCATTATCTTCTCTCTGTCTCGAACTGTGTTTGGTAACCTATAGGTAATTTTTAACACCTACACCTGCATCTAATTTAGCTTATTTGCTATTTCAGAACTTGAATCAAGGTTTGAAATATTTGTTTGATTTGTTTATTTCACACAAACTTCTTGCATTTGATTATACAAAGTGTATTATAATGTTGAAAGATGATATGTATTAGTGGTGATACAATGGATTTTGCATGCATGAATGTCTTATAATCTATGATAATTTCTTTTTAAAGCACAAATTTTCAGGTTATCCATGGCAAGAAAGAGTTTTTCTATTGTGAAGAGAGGTCGACGATGTGGCATTTTTGATAATTAGGAGGAATGCAAATCTCTAGTTGATAAATTTCTAAATACCTCCTACAAAGGGTATGCAACGTACAAAGAGGCTTTGATTGATGGGAGAAGCACACCATCGCTCGTGATTCAGCATCCATCTCAAGGCCTGTCCAGACATCTGTTTATGTTCAAGAACAAATATTTCCAGAGGAGCATAACTTAGATGAGGATAAGGAAAAACATAAGCATGTCCGGACACCAGTTCAATTCCAACAACAAATATTTTCAGAGGGGCATAATCTGGATGAGGACAAGGAAAAACTTGGGGAAACTGGTATTTTCCTCATCTATACTTTTGCATTAGGTTCAGTGTTTACAATATTAGTGTTTGTAGTTTGTATCGTTGCAGTATTTGTTGACTTGTCCATTGCAAAAAGCATATGATGTGATTTGTAAGTTGTTATGTGTTGGATGTTTCTCAACTAGGTTTGTAAGTGATTACAATATTATGTGATGTAATTTATTGGCTTTAGTTTCTGAAATGCTGGATGTCTAAGAATTATGATATATCTTCAACCATACATGCTACCTATGAAAAAAATATTAATTGTACCTTAGCAAGTTGACTTTATAGGTAGTTCTATAATGCCCGAGTTCACCATATTTGCTACATATATGTTTCTTCCTTTCTTTCTTTTCTTATGCTTGTTCTAAACCTGACTGGATTCTAGTAGCATTGCGTGGACGGTTTCTTCCTTTCTTTCTTTTCTTATGCTTGTTCTAAACCTGACTGGATTCTAGTAGCATTGCGTGGACGACCTTTAGTCCTTGCAGGTCTATCATCTAAACCTGACTGGATTCTAGTAGCATTGCGTGGACGACCTTTAGTCCTTGCAGGTCTATCAGGATCATAAACTGTAATATGAGGAATGCGCTCCATTGTATGTGAAATGGATGCAGCAATCTGAGGAATATCCACCATTTGAACTTGAGTTTCTCTAACTTCTTCTTCAATTGACTCTATAAAATTTGTTAGCACATCATCTAGTTTTTGCATCTTCTCTTCTGAATCAAATACAAGTTCGAGCGCATTATTGAATTTTGCTCTTAAAGCCCAAGATTTTAATAAATTAATCTCCTATTCACAGCTTGTGATGTTTCTTCTAAATACAATGTTGCTAACCCTATGTTACGAAGTCGAGCATGTATAGTCCAACGGTGTAGGATGTAATGGTCGGGTAATAAATCCATTTGTCTAGCCATCATTAGCGACATTATATGCCTACATACAACACCATTGGTTTCAAACAAAGCACAAGTGCAAATAAACTACAAATGACTGGACTGATCATAAGTAACCACCTCCCATTTTCCTCTATCTGTAAACTTACAGACCTTATATTCAACAACGTCCCCATCTTTTCTCAATTCTTCACAAAAAAGTGTACCAAATCCTTTGAATTCAGTTTGGAACACAGTAAATATATTGCATGTATACATTTCTCTAACTTGTACCTTAATTGGATGTCCAAGGAGCATTACAGACTTTGTGTTAAGACTCTTAAAATCTTCATGGGCTTCACTTAAGCGACGATGAGTTACTGTTTTTTCATATTGTGTCGCAAACTCTTGTAATTGAGTATGTGAGTTAACAAACTCATCAAAAAAGAATTAATACTTTCACTCCTTTGGCTCGATCTCATTCCAGCAAAAAAAGTGTCCTTTAAATAACATGACACCCAATGTTCTCGACATTTGTAAACTGTTTGCAACCATCCATTCCCTTTTTTATTTACCTCTAACTTCTCCTTCATCTCAAGCCAATATCCTCCATACTGTTCAATTAGAGAATTATTATATCACAAGCCCTAATACCTTTGAAACTGTTCACCATAATGAGACCCCAAAATAGGCAAATGATTAATAATGTGCTTTTGCATGTGCCAATAGCAATAACGATGTCTTGTTATTGAAAACACTGAGTGAATAGCATTATACATTGTTCTATCCTGATTTGCTATAATGGCACCTAGTTCAACCACATGCATGCATTTCATCCATTCTTGAAATAACCACACAAAGGTATCTTCCTGGTCATCGGCTAATAATGCACAACCAAGTAAAGTGAACTTCCTATGGTGATTCACACTAGTAAATGGAGCAAATGAAAGACTGAACTTATTAGTTCTGTATGTCACATCAAACACAACAACATCATTGAATTGCAAATAAGATGCTCTTGATCTTCCATCAACCCAGAAAACACTCCTCATTTGCCCACTACTGTCTACTTCTATTGCAAAATAAAATCCTGGATCATTCATTGTCTTACTCTGAAAATGTCAAATGATAGGCATGCATTCATGGCCAATATTATTGTATCTTTGGATTCTGATATGATCAATACACTGTTGTGGTATCACTAATTCACCTTCTCTTCCATTGGCTGCATTAATGACACGAGAAATAGTAGAAGGAGGCATACCTTCTTCTCGCAGACTCTCAATAAGTTTTTTACATCTATGAGTTTTATGGGATTGTTTATGCGATCTGTATTTTTGCTTTGTCTGGACTACTCATCACATAATTTGTATGCTCTTCAACAAACCCCGTGACCTCCCACGATTTGTCCTCCAATAATTTAACTCGTAGCATTGCCTTACACCCTACTCGGGTCTCTCGCCAAAAAGGGATCTCTATCTTGTCTCTATTAGATCTATATCCCTCATTATCACAAACAAACTTTCTGTCTATCACATCTCTAGTCTTGCAAGAGTAATTTACCGTGCTCTTCCTTATTCCAAAATCCATCAATAATGCATAAGAATTATAATAGTTATAAGCTTATTTATAAGTATTAAACTTCATTCCTAGTAGTGATTTAGGAGCATTTTTAGTATTGGCTGCAATTTTACTTCCAATAGCACTTGATTCTCCCATTCTGAGCTCTACACTAGTTGAATTTATTTCCTCCATTCTGTAAGGTTAATGTACAATGAATTATAACAATGTTGAATACTGGCTAAATATACAATTCAAAATTTTTTGCATCATTACCTTCTAACATTGCTGGTCATTGTGAAAGGCATAACAGTGCTTATGGTATTGCTGCCGACATGGACATTATCGTTATTGTGATCCATGCTTGTTCTGTAGGACATCAAAAAAATATTCTGCAACAAGCACAATGAAGAAAATAATTTGCTGTCTAAAAGAACATCACTTTACTAGCAGGTCATATGGAAATACATGGACGATATTAATGGCACCACGAACTTTGCTTTTATAATGGACAACACCAACCATCACATAAAAGTTCCTCAGAAAAAAATTCATTTGAGTACCAGTTTCACAATGTTGCTACAAAAATACCTTATTTGGGCATCAACATTCGATGCATTTTACAGAATAAGAGATCGAGAGAGAGAGAGAGAGAGAGAGAGAGAGAGAGAAATATCACAGCTGATAATCGTGGACAAAGAGAGGGATCGAGAGAGCA